GGAGAACGGCCCACGCATCCCGCATACCGTCCCGATAAATAATCGAACTAGGCGTCCGCTAGAACCGCCCGTTGCCAAATTCTCGTCCGGATAGTCCTGCGAAGGTCGACTCCCAGCTGGATCGTCGACGACGGAGGAACACACGATTCTCTAACGAAATCCACCGTGCATCTCGGTCACTTGCTCGTTTTTATTTTTCACGATTCCTACTTCTGGATATGCTAATTCCGGAATCAAATTCTTTGCTACCTTAAACCAGACTGGTCCATTTTAAATTTTGTTCGATTGAAAATTTATTTAAAATGAAACACCTTCAACCATGATGTTATATAGAATTGTATTATCCGTACACTCAAAGGGGACTACTTGTACAATACATTATTATTATTCGATGATTACTTTAAACCAGATTGTTTAATTTTAAATTCTGTTCGATTGAAAATTTATTTAAAATTAAATACCTTCAACCATGATATTTAATAATATTGTATTATCTGTATACTTAAAGGGGACTACTCGTGCAATACATTATTATTATTCGATGACTACCTTAAACCAGATTGTTTATTTTTAAATTCTGTTCCATAGAAAGTTTATTTAAAATTAAATACCTTCAACCATGATATTTAATAAAATTGTATCATCCGTACACTCAAAGGGGATTACTTGTACAATAAATTATTATTATAATTCGACGACCACCAAGGACATTAATTACAGGAGTTCTCTAGTTAATATCTGCGCAAACTTTGCAATTTTTCCTGGCCGAGTATACGCGACAGATAATAAATTATCGCGACGGTAGCACGATTACCGTTTGCACATTCGCAGTAATAATGTCCAACTACGATTGAATCGAGCATTTATAAGTTTCAGTGTTGACACGTCGCGATCTAGCTTGGAGTTTAATTATGTTATCTCCTTTAGGATAATAGAGATTAATCGTGTCTTCTCGACAGAGTCATAATTCTAGGCTACGTCGTGAGATCCTATCAACAGGAAATTAAACTTCCTTTCTGTATACTATAAAGTCGTTATAAAATAAATAAACGATACAAAATATCGTCTTACGACAGAAGTTACTGGAAAAATACAACGATAACTGTTTTGGCGATTAAATAATTTAGAATTTAACAGGAATGCTGCAACCGCAGCGAGTATTGTCCAGATTACCAGAAAGTATCACATCGGGCCAGCCAGGCATAAATTTAGATTTTGTTTTTCACTGACAGCTGTTGGGCGCCAAATTTACGAGCCATTCGCGAACCTACGAATCACTTTTAATGCCACCCCTGTCCGAGGATCGTCGTGCAGGATTCGTTTAAGCCGTCGGGGAACGAGACTAAACGTTTTAAAGAATCCTAAAAAGTGAATTATGAAGTAACAGAAAAAAAACCGAATCGCCGTTCTCGAAATGGATCCGCGATAAATCTTATCTCCCAACCTTTCGCGTCTTTGCTCGGCGTCGCGCTGTTTTCATCCCTTAAACATTGTATAAAATCGGAATATTCTCTTGGAAGTCGAACATCGAACGTTTTCGTCGATGTTTAACGCGATTCTAGCGCGCACGGTCGTTAAATTGTTCCAAGGCGAGGACTATTCACCTTCGAAAGCCATCTCTATAAATCAGATCCCACTTGTGACGGTTTCCCGGGTCCACTTCGCGCCTGGAATCGACGCTTTACGATTCCGCGTCGAGGGTGGGAACGCCAAGGCGACGTAAATCAGAAAAATTGGAGGAGCACCGACGATTTTAGATCGAGATTTATAGATTCGCGATGCCACGGCGCGATTGTTCCATCGTCCGCCGCCTCGCGCGGTCTTGTGACTGATCATGGCCTTGGGAAATGTCGCGAACCAACGGCAGAAAATAAGAATAAAGACCAGAAATATTTCTGGCGTTACGTAACGGCGGTATGAAAGTGGCGAGGAGATAATAGTCGACCGATAATAGTCGGACCGCGAGCAAAACGATATTTCACTGTCCGAGCGTTACGCTTTGAAGAACGCGATCTCGTAAAGAAAAGGCGAAATTTCAGAATCGGGCGATCATTTCTCGAGTATACGCGATCTAGAGCCTCGAACATCTGGCGATGACACCCTTCGAGCATTTTCCGTGTTTCGAATATTCGAAATATAGCGGTGCATTATTAAATCGGATATTATTGCCCTCGTATCTCCTCGAACCCAAAACAATTTCGTATTATTAAACGTCGACGCATCGAGGAGGAATCCGGGGTACGGAGCAGCTTCTGGAAATATTTCGAATTTCCATTTGCAGAGAATTCGTATTGAAGCTATGGGACTCGATTAAGAATAATACAACGAGGATAAACATTTCGAAGGGTTGCAGGCAGTGACTGCACGAGTGAATTGTCAACTTTGGAAGGGTTTGAAGGGTTGACCCCGCCAGGGAGTTCAAAGGGAGACGGTCAATTAACTCGTGACAGAATGTTTGCTTCCCCCGGAGGGGCAGTCACCCCTAACTACGAGCCGGCTGATTAATGATGGAAGTAATTAAAATGGGCGGACGTTCGTTAACGACGAGGCACTCGAAGGACGAGGGAACAGATTCCTCGTAATCATCGGGGCCATCCCGGACCATACATCACCGTCCGGCTGACTGGCCCGTGATGCGTTCGAAGTCTTTTCGAGTTAGACCCATTATCGACCCGACTTCACGGACACCCGATACGTGTAATTAGTTCCGTGAAAGGCTGCACCGAAATACGATCGTCTTCGTTCGTCGCTGGCGAAACTAGGCTTCCTTTTGAACTCTCGGTGGCCCGCGCAGGTATTTGCGAATGGCGCGTACGAGCCAGTTCTCTTTTGATAAACAACCGATTCTGGACGCGTTCGCCGCATCGACGACTGATGAGACGGAAGCGCGTCATTAGCGGGAGGCTCGCGAATGTGCGAAACGATAAAGAAAATGGACGATTCCACGGTGGAACTGTGTTTCATCCGTACTAGAAAATAGTCAGATCGAAGCCAGAGGATCCTTGGACTTGGTCTCGCTTTTTAAAAATAAAAGTGGAACCTTGGCCCCGGGCAAACGTTCCAAATTTTCTCCGATGATCCACGATCGTTACGACGATACGTTTACAACAATGCGTGGACCCCAACGGTTCCCGTCGAAGAGTAAACGTACGACCGGACAGTGTTTATAAAATTTTGTTTAAGAGTTCCCCGATGCAGACGATACATAATCGCCGGAACGGAAACGTCAGAAACGCCCGAGAGGGGGGAGGGCGGGGAAACGAATCCTTTTTTTAATCGCGGCCATCTGGTCGTGTCCGGCTCTCGCGAACGTTCTCTAAAACAAAAAGAGATACGCCGGGGTGGAAAAGAAAAAGCAGCCCGATACCCCAAGTGATCGTTACCATCCTCGAGCGTTTCAATGTTTGCATAGGCGATTCCGAAAGAAATTCAAATAAACTGCCAACTAATCTCGACGCTAAACTCGTACGAGACTCTTTATCTTGCGATTCGTTATTTTGTCCGCAAATAAAAGCCATTCTTCTGTTAAAACGAAGGCCACGGTTCTCTGTATACAACCGACGAGCAGAAAATTATTGCGGGACAACGTTCGCGAAATCTTTCAAACCACCCTTCCATCCACGAGTGATTTATCTTCAAGAATAACAGAAAAAAATTTTCACAAATCCAAGCGTATATCGAGGGAATATAAAATTTTTGTTTGCCCCATTCGACATCCCCTCAAAGTTTCCCGCCTCGAAGGTCTGGTGAAAGAGGCCACGAGGTACGTTCGCTGGCCAACTTAGAATACAATTAGAAGCATATTGACCCGAACACGGCGATCGGTATCGGAAGGGACGGGAGCGAGGGACCGAGGCGGAAAGAAGGCACGAATTCAGGTGGATAAGGGGCGCCTCTATTCGCAGATAAGAGGGTGAATAACCGAGGATAAAAATACTGGCGGCGCGGAGCACGAGAGACGAAAGAAGAAGGAAGGCGAGACGAGGGTGAAGCGGAGGGGAGTGTAGTTGGACGTGGTTGCCATCCGATTGGAATGCGCTACGCGCACTCGCCTTGGTCTGCCTCAAGCCTGGTCCAAGTGTCCGGCCACAGCCGCGGAATAAATGACCCACAGATAAAATGGCCTCCCGTTCGTTCCTAATTAACACCCAGTTTTCCCACCGAACTCCACTTTCGCTCTATTTTATCCTTCGATCGTCCTCGACGGCGACTCCGCCGTTCAAACTAACTTTAAAGACCGAGTCTTTGAGACCAACGTCGCGAGAAGCTCTCAAAGTTTTGCAATATTCCAGGAAGAAAATTCTTAGCGATACTTTTTCTTATTTGTTTTCCTGAGGTAAGGGGATATCGCTCTGATGCAACGTTTCAAACTTTAGCGACTCTCAGAAATTTAAAAAATGTTGCAAAAGTACTGCGAAGTGAGAGAATGTTGAACTTCTCGAAGAGTATTTTGTATTTTTGTTTATTTAACCCTTAAGGGGGTCTTTTGCTGTAACACGCGTTTTTTTATGTTCCCTTTCGAAACCATGCAACTTCTTGCATATTTTCAATCTCAATTTTCCGACATTTAAGCGTGATCGTTAAAATGTTCGATGGCATTCCTCCCTCCGGACCCTCCATTTTATTTCCCCGCTTGTTTCCTCGGGTAACTCGTACCAAAAATCACAGCGACGGTGGGACTCCGTGACCGTCGTGGCGCGCAATCTTAAGAATCTACGCGATCGAAACAGCAAAACGACAAATGCACACAAACACCGAGGCAAACTCATGCAACAGCGCGTCGATCCTGGTCGGATGCAAAGAATCGAGCGGGAGCCTCCCGTGGCCGGGGCTCCTTTGAAAGGACGAAGGTTAATAAGTTAGAGCGTCGCACTGAAACAAGGAGATAAGGAGAAAACTTTATTAATGGTTAGTCGTATCAGGTTAAAACGGGACTTATTGTCCGCTGCAGGGTGGAAAACCGCAAGCCGTTTCGGTGGTCCAAGCGTTGGATGCCGTACCGTCACAGTGTTTACAGCGCTTCGCCCTCGGCTCAGGCATTCTGCGGTGACCTCGTGACCTCACCGATATTCCATCGTCGGGGTTTCCTGCACTATACACACTGTGTACACACAGAGACACGGGCACGCACGCACGCTGGCCACGCACGTGCACACCGCCAAGGTAGCTGCACGCGTTGCGATCGTCGAGAGAGCACGCGCTCCTCTTCAAGCAACGCCGGCGGCGGCGGCACGGCCCCCTTCTTCCTCGTCCTCTTCTTCCTCTTCTGCTTCCACGGTTTCCTCTTCTTCACGCGGCCGGAGTAGAAGCCACCGTTTCGTCGACAGACACATCTGCCTCTCTCCAAAGTTTTCGGCCCCGTCACTGGCCCGACATAACTTGTCCAGTCGGTTGTCAAGCTACGACAGCCGAAACGATCTTGACGCGCTGCCTAGCGGATTACACGCGCTGCCCGATTCGATCATTGGCGCGGCCACGGCCGTGGATCAGCGAGAAACGCGGATAACGTCGATCACCGGCGACCCGCCGACACCGAACGTACCCCGGACTCCACCGCTAACATGTTTATCGCGACGGGGACGTGCCATTCGATTCCGCCAGCTTCCTTCCCCGAACTGGCCGCGAAAATTACGGTCCAAGATGGCACCTGAGGCACCCGACGATCGCCTCCCAGCGTCCATTCGCGTCCAAGTTCGATCACCAGTCCGCACTTATCATTTTCAACACGTTCACTGAAACAACCCTTGGCCTACGAAGGTCCGTACACAAGACTACTCGGGGGTCCACGATCCGTAAACGTTTATGTACAATGTCGGGGGACGCTGGAAGTCACCATCGTCTCCAGAGTTTCCTAAGGGTGGGGGAATGCAACTTCGTCTCGCCGTAGGAATGGTACGTTCAGCTTCGTTTACGCGAGACTAGATCCTCCACGTCTTTCATCTTCGAACGTCAACACTGTTCTTTCCCTGCGATCTCAATAATCTTGACCCACCGTTTCATCTATCTTCTCGTTGACAAAACTCAAATACGATACGAGTTCCAAGGAACAATGGCTGCCCGAGAAACGTAAACAGAGCGCGAGTTCGTCCTGGCGGGTCGTTACGTTCGTCGAGCTTCCGTCAACGACCCCCGAACGGTCGTCCAGGGTGGACCAGGGTGTCCTGGAGTCGCGTTGTTCCGGATTCTTCCGCGCGGAAGAGCGAGCTAAACGGTCGCGGGTCGTCGTCGTGGTACTTGTTCCGAGTCGTAGCGTCGCGACGGTTGACGACGCGACCCGGTCGATGCACAGAGAACGCAGTCGTGACGCGGGGGTGCGAGAACTGTCGTGGATCGTTCAGCGATCTCGTTCGAGGACGCTGCGGGTGTGTTCACATCGCGAGGTGGAGGGCGTCTAGGTCGTCGTAGCGCCTCGCAGCCATGTCGCACACGCACTGGCGGACGCTCGACGCCGGGACGCCGTCTTCGGCCGGACTCGGTCCACCCTCTCGGCAAGCGTCGGGACGCCTCTGGCTGCGGGCCAACGTGCCAGCGGGCTGCCTCCGCGGATTACCGCGTCGCGGCGCTCTTCGATAGCACGACAAATTTTACGCGATAACGATTCCTTTTTTTTCAAAAAATTCGACTTGTCCTTTGTTTCGATCTACCATATTGCGTGTAATTTTTTGAAACCATGTTCGTGTTCTTAAATTTGTGATAAAAAGAAAGGTGGAAATAAACGGAAACCTGGAGCTATCAGAGAGTAGATCGATCGATAGTTTATCGATGTCGAAGGATGCACCCTTCTTGAACTATAGGTCATCGATTTCAACGTATTGATATGCAAGAATCGTAGTGTTTCGTTAAAAAACACCTGAAAGGAATGTTATCGTGCTATCCTCCATGGAATAATACAATCGTTCGCGTCGAACATTCTTTTCTATCTTTAAAAATAAACGGGTTATTCGGGTGACCTGCTTCACGAGCCCCACCCTTTATACTCTCACGCTGTACGTCAAAGTTTAAAACCGTTTTACTCGAAATTACATTTTTCGAGCCGGTATAATCTGCACTGAAATAAACTCGAGATTTATCTTCTTCCTTGGACGCTTCGGGAAGCAAGGAACAAAGTTTCTTTCGACGAGAGAGAATAATGCACGGAGGAAAGAAGATGGATCCAGGAAGGAGTTCCCCTCGACCCTAACTCTTCTACATCGACAGTTTTTTACTAAACAGCGATTTATTCGCAACGCACGGTTCGCTCAAATTATTTGTCATCGAATTTCGAGTGGAAAACAAATGTTCTTTACGTAACGGTGCCCGGATCAATGGTCAAAAGTCGCCAACAGATTGTCGGCGACAAACAATGTTTTTCAAAACGAGTGTACCCGGTGATTTACGAATGACAATGACGTCCAGCTGCGGCTGACCGTGCCAAAAGCGTCTCCAGCCCCTCGAAACTTTCCTCGAAACCCGGTTCGCGACGATTAGGCGAACGGTCGTTAAAGTCCGCTCGTATAACACAGTCGCGTCAGTGAATGCGGCCGCGGGCGGAATTTGACGCCTAGAGAACAAGGTGGAAAACACGCAGCGGACCGACCCGAAGAAGATGACGAAGAGACGCGGGGAAATAACAAGGTGGCGCGATAGCAACGAGTGGGCGTTCGTCGTCTCTCCGTTTATCTCCTGCACGGAGTGACGTCACCGTACGGTATAAAGGAGACTCTAAAAGCGAACAGATGGCCTTTATAGTTTGACCATAGACCGTGCCGACGCGCTTTGCTCGCCAATGGAATCGTGAAAACCAGACGCCATTATGGCCAGCCCCGATCGGATGCACAAAAATCCCACAAACCCGATGGACTGTCCAACGGCGGCCATGGTTTCACGAATCCGACGAGTTCGGTTTACTGAACCACTTCTTTGAACTATTATAACTTGAAGAAAAGAGTGTTGGTTTAAAGGTTGCACCTTTTACTTTCGTATTCCATCGAACTACCAAAGGTTACTATGCTTGGTGTATCGTTAATAATTTATTACCTGCAGAAGAATAAGAATGTTCTATGTGAAACGACGTTAGGGGCGCGAAGAAGATTCCGCCTTCCGCGGAGGCGGGTGTCTCGAACGAAAGAAGATTAGCCGCGTTAAAAGCGGTTATTATTACCGTTATGCAATAAAATGCGACGGAGAAGAGGAGCGAGAAGTCGCGAACGGCGACAGAAAATTTATAACGGTACTTAATGAAACTTCAAAGTTTCATCAGGAACAAGCGCGGACTTCCTGCCCGACGGGGCGAGTTCGCGAAACCGCGCTGCTGCTAAAGGTTTCGTATTTATACTCGACATCGTCGCCGGTCACGGCGATCGCAAATTTCCCCCGCGGCCATACGTCAGCGCGAAAAAGCGCGGTTAAGTGCGATCGTTAAAAACGGGGGAAGATGGAGGGTGCATCTCGTAAACGAAACACGGACCGTCTTCCGGGCGATGCAACGCGCCGAGACCTCCGGAATTACACTTTAACGTAAAGTCTCCTCTTCGTTTTCGTCGAGCTTTCGCGAAATTTTGTCGAGCTTCGAGTGCCCTGCGATTAATCACGAATGCCCCACGTTACGTTTCAAATGGCCCACGATAAGTGGTGAGTGCTCCACGTTACGTTTCAAATGACCCACGTTAAGTGTTCAATGCCCCACGATTGGCGTTGATTGAGTTTTAAATGGCCCACTGTGGGTTGTGATGCCCCATACTAGATTTTACAATGACCCACGACACATTTAGAGTTAGACACGACAAATTTTAAGCGACCATATTAAATTTTTGAACGATCTATTCCAGATTGCAAACGAGTCAATAAATATCGCCGTAACGATTAAAATTCGCGCGCTTATTGTAATTTTTTGGTTGGACCGTGGTTATCGAACGACTCGAGGCACGCGCGGTGGATTCGTTTTACAGGGAAGAAAGAAATTCAGGGACCGAGGACGAGGTTAAATGAAAAGGCGCGGTGCTTCTCCTCCCCCCTGTTAGGAGCACGGAGCGGTTTTATCGCGCGGCTAACAAATAAACGAGCGAGCGGAACGGACAGGCGGGAGGGGAAAAGAGACCGCGAGAAAGTAACGAAAGTACATTTTATTGAGTTCTGGGTGGCTGTTGCACATGCAAGAACGTACCTTACAAGTTCATAAATTCCAAAGTTTTCCTCGTGAACGTCCGCCGGGCAACGAGCGCCCAAAACAATCCCTGCGCCTCGGGTTTTACGACGGCGAGGTGGTTTCTCCAGAAACACACGCGGCGAAGATATTGCGCTACGCGAACGCATGGCGTCGTTTACGATTATGTGCAACCAGGGGATCCTGCTATAACGAATTACAATAGAGTTGCAACAGTTTCTCGCAACATTTCGATATATATAGAAATTTTTTGATGGGAGTTTTTGGTGAATCGAAGGCTGTATCGAGTCGTAATATCAAATCTCCGCGATCGCTGCGATTAGGCAACAATTAGTCGACGCCGCAGACTTTGCTTACGAGAGAACGATCTGCGTCTCTTCCTACGCGTTACATCACTCCGGACGTATACACGGAGCACAGACGGTATTGTGAGGCTGCTTTAGAATTCTTTGTTCCTTTGAGGCGTGAATAACGTATCGCGAAAGAAGAGGCCTCTAAATGATACAATGGACGAAAGATTTCGATCGATTCGAGAGAACCGGCGCGCTCTCAATCCCCGCAAGGACGAGAGTCACGTCGAATTAACTGCGTAAGGTAACCAGCGCGAGAAGTATTGCCTAATGGCAACTACCGAACGACCTAGAACGGCCTTCGGCGACCGTAACTACGCAATGGCCGACCAACCGCGACGTAGAAGGCGGCTACTACTTAAAACGATGCCAATCCTCCTGCTATATTTTTTTTATTGACCACCGTGAACGATGTGAGAAAAAAAGAAACAACGCGGTAAGATTTACGACATTTTGCGACAAAATGGAAGAGCGCGGGTCGTTAGAAATTCCAAAGATGTCGGTGCACGGGCCGATCCGGGAATGGCGAAACCGACTGGCTCACCTAAAAGGCGAGACAAAACCATCGATAACAACAATATCGAACGTCTTTGCTGAGATAAGAAAACAATTGCACCGTTAAAAGAAATATTCTACGAATTTAACTATAAAACGAAACCACGAAGAAGCTTAGGGAAACTTTTAATATATCGTTTTCGTGAATTAAACGTTTCCCAGTCGTCTGTCTCGTTCAGTTTTCGGGGCAGCGGA